TCAATACTTATTTGATTAAATCGTGTCGATTTGTTGTTGTTGTTGTGGTTTATATCGATATCGATACCGATAGTGTTATATATATGCAGGCACATATATACGTATCTATGCAGCATCTCTCTCCCTTTTTAGTTGGACAAGGATTACATTGTATTGTTGCGTAGTGGACGCCGATGCCATGTTGATACCTGACTACTTAATTTAATTTCATTGACGGTGACTGTCTGTGAAGATGACTACTTACTATCGCGGATGGAGGTCGGCGTTTGGATTCATTTGCCAAGTATTCAGCACACGGATCATGCTACTGTCGATGATATTCTCACAAGAAGGATGAATGAGTCGTGTTGAGAAGGAGATGACTTTGACAATTTGAGTTTTACTTACAGCTCCAACATGTTTATTTAAACTCGTCGGCGACCCGTGTAATAAGTAGGGTTACCTTGTTCAAATAGGGTAAATTCTCTCGCTTCCTGCCCCAGAAATGTTATTCTGGCCCAGAATTACAGTACATTTTATATGCATACCGACCGACCCACCGACCGAGAGAAGAAAGGAGACATTATTATTATTATTATGAGATTTGAATCCGTGTCGTACTCCATATTTATTTTAATGGAAAGAGTTGTTAAACTTTTATAACCCACCAAATTCAAATGGAGTGTGCAAGAAGGAATGCTATTCATTCGCCATGCATATGAGAGCTACTTGTTCGAGAGAATTGATGACTTACAACAAGCATATTATTATTTGCTGGTTAAGACCGATTGTGTTATTTAGTGTTACTCCAGTCAGTAGGCGTTCTACTATATGTGCACCAGAATCTTTTTGCACATCTGGGAAAGAGGGATAGGTCATGCATGTTTCTGCAGTTGCGTTCTGTTCTTCTTGCAACGTTCCTCTATCTATCTATCGTTTCGTTTCGTTTCGTTGGTAATAATTCTCTGACAAGAGTTAGCCAGCCAGCCAGCCAGGCAGTGAGCAATTCAAGAAAGAAGTAAAAGATCGTTAAAACCTATTCTGTTATCATATATTACCACATGAGGTAGTAAACGCTTAAAATTAAAAATCTGAAACTGTAACTTGCAACTTGCAGATGATCATGATGATGATGGGATGAAAATGCAAATGAGCAGAATCCATAACGAGAGTAATAGTAGAAATGGAGAAACAACTAGTTATCCACCATCTACTTAATAGTTTTCAAGCTTTCGATTTTGTTGTGCAAAAGGAGCGAGAGTTTTGGTTAAAATCTGTCATTATACGCCATCAGAGTTATATGGTGAAGAGCAACCGTCTTGGTTTGCAAACCAGATTTATAAATCTGATATCCAATGACGTTAAAGGATAATTTTTCAAATTTTTCAATATAAGAGAGCTGTGTGAATGTTAAAACGTGAATGTCAAGTGGCAAGTATTTATAACAACGTTTAAGGATTCCTAGTAATCAGTTGTTGCTCATTTCAAAAACTGTTTAATTTCTATTTCCAGTAATTGCCCTCCGTACGCTCCATCCATCCATATGTGCTAATACAAACAGTTATTAATGTACGTTCTTGTATTTGCCGTTCTCTGAACAATTTTGATATTTCTATCGATCCTTTCGTTTATTTAACAAATTGAACATGCTATTTTTCACGTGATGATGGAGTTTTCTGGATGATTTGCACTAGAATGCAAACCACCGCTACTGGTACATGCAATGAGTGAATGTATGCATATTTACGTATGTATGTATGGGTTCATCATTTCATACATCCTCGCTATTATGATTACTATTAATAATATATGTGGTGGTTCGCCTTATCTTCATTTTACTATTTTTCATCCTTATATTCATTCATATTTCTATTTCTGTATGTTCCCTTGTTGCAATGAATTTAGTGAGAATAAGGCAAGCCATGCATGTGTGGTAGGCATATGTACATATAAAAAAGAAGAGCATCACACAACCAATTTTTTCCAACCAAGGTAGCAGATAGATACAGATACTTATTGGATAATAGACGACGACGCGGATGGATTTTGCCGTGGTGGCTGCCAAAATAATGCGGTACGTTATGTGTATGAATATGCTAATATTCTTGGAACTTGTGTGTGTGTGGCTGTTTGTTAAAGCAGCCTGTAATAGTTAACAGGAGTCAAAAGCATCCTCCTCCATCATTCGGTCTTATCGCCATGCCTGTGATGAATAGCATTTGGTAATGCATGTATAATTCAAATACTCGACAGCCTCACAACCTTTGAGGAGAGAGGAGGATGGATGGATGGATGGGATTATTGTTCTTTTAGAGATACATGCTGATTAGGAAAAAATTTGATGCCAGGAAATCATAAAACCTCACATTTTAAGAACTCGCTATCGAGTTTAATAGTTTTGGTGGAGAATTTGACCACTTTTACCTTGAAGGAAGAAGAATATATTATTGGTGCGATTCGCAAAACGATTTATTTGCATCGTCATTATTCAATTTGCTACTAGAAATCCCTCACCGTTATCTTATCTGCTTCTTCCCCAACTAGTGTATGTATATCTGTGATAATATGCGAGTGGAGGGTAGAGATTTGATCTTATCTAACGGTAAATCTCAAGAAGCGATACGCAAAAACAAAAAAAGTCGAGATCTGGATAATGTTTATGTAAAGGTCGCGTACACAGACGTCACTTCTTTTCACAGTTCGGCTCCAGCAGAATCACTTGTTATTGGGCAACAACAAAAGCTTAAAGTTAACTGTCGGCTTTAAAATGCAACCTTTGACCTCGCAAGACCATGTAAATTATTTACCTTTGAAAAAACGACTACGACGACGAAGATGATGATGATGATCGGTACTTAAAGAGTGTTACAGTGAAAAAATAATAACAAGATAAATAGCTTACTTTCAAAATGGTCCAATAGCTTAATTTAGCAAGATTCGTTGTTTTTCCTTCTTATTATTAATAAATAAATAATTATTAGGCTCTGGCTTCACAACACACAAACAAACACAGCTTCACATGTACATAGATCCGTTTAACACACACTAATCCTTGCCGATTCTTAATAATTAATTAAGTTCTGTTGTTGGATGAATGATGCGTCAAGTACAAGTTTTCTTAATAATAACAAGAATATTGTTTATTATTTCGTTAGAAATATGTACATACGCCAGAAATTATTTCCAAAATCACTTTTTGATTAAAACTCGTAGTAGTGTCGACGTTTTTTGTACATTAATATTTCCTTTGTCACTCGAATATTGATGCTGGACAAAATTATTAAATATCAAGTGGCGTAGACTTAATACAACACAAATTTTCACAAACTTTCATTCATTCGTGAAAAGAATTTATGTATGACGATATTTTATTTTTGCACGTCTTTTTGAGTCAAACTCCCCTTAAAAACTGAGGAATTAACTGAATGGCCCACCATTTCACTACATTTTACACAAACTGCTGCCGTGTCCACTTGTACCAGTAATAATAAGTACCAGTAACATTTAGTTTTTTTTATTCTGTCCTCATTAATGGGGATATCCTATCCTATTTCCTTAATAGGCATAAATGTGTTAAGTCCGCATGTGCTTGTTTGTTTTGTTTTGTAAATTTAACTCTGTCTTCTCCAAAAGAAAAATTACTGTACCAATTTTATTGTAAACTGCACGTTTTAAATCAATTGTATCTTATCAATTCACAAATTGTTATCCAGTTTTAATATATATTTTTTTCTTCTGGCGCGGCACAACTACAACGTTCCCACTATTTTCTCTCCCCTTTATAGTAAAAGTCTGCTTCTTTTTTCTGTAACAATAGTGGCCAAAACGTTGTGTAAAATGTCACTTTGAGTTGGTTTTTGGATCTTTCTTTAGAATCTTGTCCTTACAGAAGAATGCTTAAAGGTTTAACAAAAATCCAAACCAACAGCAGAGCGCATCTCTCTCTCTCTCTCTTCTCTTTTAAGAGACGACTTTTATATATTTCGCTTTTGGTGGAGAGGTCCAACAACAACTCTTCTCTTACCCTGGTCGAACTAACTGATTCAATTCTGTTAACTCTACTGCTGCTGACTGCCAGTTCACACACACATAGTAAACCATACATACGTAGATACGTATGTATGTAAGCAGGCACAGCATCGACATCACTTAAACTTGACTATATTCTCCAACTCCAAGCTAATAACACGGAGTGAAAAGAACGTTATGTTATGTGTAAAGTAAAGCCATGTTAAGGCGAGAATTTATAAGCTGAAGCAGTTCAAGTGGAGTTTAGTGAAGGTTGTATACATGGAAAAAAAACAACGCCTATATGTAATGCTGCTTTTGCTTATGTATTATTGCATGGTTTGCTTCAAGAGATATGAGAAGGAGTAGTAAGTAAGTAGAATATGTATGTATGTGTGAAGTGAATACGGAATCAGTGAGTGCTAGGCGAATCATGAAACTTGCTTTATTTTTTAACTCTAGCCATGAGTTAAGGGTATCATGACATGTATGGCGAATAATTTTACATGATGTGATCAGTATTTTTAATAATACTGCCAAGTATAGAGGCAGAAAAGAAAGGGTTGAAGGGTGAGCAGCTCTGTGCACAATTTTTAAATCTGTGATTCATTTGTATTTGTCCAATATTTGAATCAATCGTTAGCTATATGGCGAATCAGCCAGGTTAGTTGACGGTTCAATTCTTCACATGACATGACAGACAGGGATATTATCATTACGAATGACTATGACACATGCCCGATACCAGTTTTTGTTTCGTGTGTGCGGCAGGGAATTTGTCCCCCGACTTATCACATCATATTTGAACACTCTTTGCAAACATGTAAAATCCAAAGATCTTTATTCTCTCTTGTATCAAGCCTCCAACAACATAGCTCCACGTACTTATGTACGTAGGTAGGTGATCCAATCCGTCCAGCATTATATTACAGCATTTTAACATTGGAGTATACAAGTCCCAACAACATAACGTAACACATCTCCTGTGTACGAACATCCAGAGTATGTATTATTACAGAGATGAAAATGAAGTTAGTTTGTGGATTGGTTGTGATCTTCCCTCAAAAAATTCTCTCCGTGTTCATTTTGGTCGTATTTATCCCCTGAATAAAGTGTGAAGTAAAGTGTAAGTCTTGTAGTTAGGTTGGTGGAGAGGAGGCAGGCAAAGGAAAGGGTTAAAGGAAGGAAGGTTGTTCGTTTCAATGAGGAGAGTAATAAAGCTGTACGTAGCGTAAAGATTTACCAGCTAAACTAGTCCGAATAACAAAATCTACACACTGGCCATCCATCCAATAGCTCTGTAAAAGAGAGAGATTGCATTAGAAGGGGGAATTCACGTTATCATTGCATTGGTAAGTCACTTTGTGCGGGTTATATCTCGCCGATTTTCTTTAATGTAGTAGCACACAGGGCGCAAGTAGTAAGTTTGAGTCGGGCAAAGCGCCTCCATTCTCAAATGGCCTGCATGTACAGCACTACGACTACTGCGTAATATACTGGTACAGTAGTAGTAAAGTAGTAGAATTGGAGTTTTACACATAGCAAATACCAACCACACTGGCCAAACAGCATAACCCTTTCTTTTGCAAAATAAATGAACGAGTGGATGGGAACGGGAGAGCGTGTTGTTAAGAGATGAAAACGGATGGCAAATGCTAATAGGCAGTTACAGTGGGACATCAACACATAATGTGGGAAAGTTTTGCATATCTGGTATATTCTGGTTGGAAAGAAAACAAATGGATATATATGTGCTTAAAAAGAAGGGGGAAATTTGCAAGTCATACATACTTATGTTACGTAAGGGGGATAAATTATAGGTGTAAGTAGCCCAATTTATTTAATCGGCATTAAAAAGTGTGTATATTCTTACTTCAAAAAAACATGTCATACGTATACCTGTGACTCTAAAAATTGTCACGTATGTATTTATAGCCATATCTCTATCCGTATCTACTTTGGCAGAGTTTCTGCACACCCCAAAAGACCATTCTTTCCTTACAACCTAATTGCAAAACATCCTCCTCCTCTTCTTCTCTATGTTACATAAATGCTTCTTTTGCACAAAGGAAAGTGTGAGTTTTTTCTAACGCTTCAGATTTGGATGGAATTCCATTTTCCATTTTGTGAGATTCTTCTTCTTCTCCTTCTGCTTTGAATGCATCACGTCGTTTTCCTTTTGCTCATCGTGTCTTTTTACATAGTTGCAGGCAGAGAGATAGCAGGGTAGAAATAGGTGTGGGTTGTTGAATGGGATGATAGTGGGCTCTGTGCATGAAATGAAATTAACCACCCCAACAACAACATGAAGAAGACTGGTTGCCGGAAAAATTTAAATGGTTAAATATTAAATGTACGTCGTCGTTGTCGTTGTCGTCGTTGTCGTCGTCATTTGTGATAAAGTCAAAGCCTGCCTGGTGACAGTTAAGTTGGTTTGGTTTTTGATGGTAACTTGTTTGTGGAGTCATTTCATAGTAGTAACAGGATAACATTGGCAGAGTGCTTTGTGTATACTTTTAACCTTTAACATGATGATCGTCGTCGTCGTTGCTTAGTTTGGTAGGTTTCTGAATGTACACATGTATATTAACAAACGGGTGGATTGGACCGAGTAACATTGTAACGTATAACATAACATACATCAAGAAATTTTGGCTTGCTTCTATAACATAGATCACAGCCGTATCACAGCACGAACTTTACACCGCATCGTATGCACTTTGTTGTAGGATGATTCAAAAAATTCCTCATTTGATGCTCCTTTGCGATTTAAGCCTTTTAGTTGTTGTAAATTTAATGGGATTAAGTAGCCAAACTACTCGGCTGTTGTAAATTGGAGAATGCAGGCATTCTTGTGGTTAAAGTTTTGGTGGATTCGAATAATTAAAAGTGCGAAGGTTTATATTTAACTTTTTAATTGTTGCAACAAATTATACTGAGGTTACGTTACGTAATGGTATGTACAGAGGGAGACGAAAAAAATCGTCGTAAAATCGGATATGCACTCGGATTACACAAAACCCTTTTTTCCCCGATATTTGTGAAAATGTGGTATGGTATTTCTGTACAACGCATTTATTTAACTGCAGTTACTTACATAATTCGTGGCAGAGTACATATCGCATTTTTTCTATGCAAAAGCTCTTAATCGCGAGGCGGCGTAATTACTCGATTTGGCGTTGTACTTATGTACGTCTGCATGAAAAAATGGCGTGTGTGTGTACTTGATGGTCAAGTTGACACAAATTATTTCCATCTTGCTTGCTGGTGGATTGGATTCTTTCCTAAAAACATGAAGTTTTTTTCTTTGCCCAGGCAAATAAGTGTGCAGTGTGAGGCGTGGGATCCTTTTAGCAGATTAGAGTGATGAGATTAAATTTGACGTAGGCACATTTGTGTGATGATATGCTCAGTCGGTTTTTAGAAGGCTGATCTCATGCCATCATCCACAGAGGAGTGCGAAGAAGAAGAACGTAATGTTATTCTGTAGCTTTTGGCAAATATTATTAGTTGACGTTACGTTACTTCATTTTTGTTGGCTCGCAACGCAACTCTCCTCTCGTGTCGTGAAATAAGGCAAAAAAAAGCTATTGCCTTGTTTGATAATTCTAAAAACTATATGCTTAAATTTGGTGGTGCTTTTTGCACCCATCCGGTCACAGTTTTACTTATCACACGACCTTATATAATTGCAGTTATGTAACATGTTTACGTATACGCAACGGGGAGGGATTATTTAATGAACAATGATTTAAGAGGGTGAAAAGTCAATGTATGAAATATGGCTTCACATCACAATGCACACAAGCTACATAGTTTCGCACAAAGAGAGGAATGTTGTTAAGTATTTTTCGATAATTAACTATCGCTATTGGCCATGTTTCATCCTCCTCTTTGTTCTGACCTTTCTCAACTTGACCAAAAAAGACGATATACATACTTTTTCTTTTCATTCAGCTGTATGTAACTGTTGTTCTGTAAAAGTAGAATTAATTCGTGCCAAGTGAACGGATATGCATATGTCTAAAAAAAAGTTGACGTTGCTCTTGACTTTCCTGTGAAGCAAAACATACCATTGGCCTTGCACTGTACAAGATAGATATTTTCGTAAATCCACTCTCACTATTTTCGCATTATTAATGGATGGCCTCAATTCCTATTCCTTGTAATGTGAAACCATTCAAACAAACCTGGACCAACTCAACAACAAGAACGAACCGACTTCACACAGAAAAGTTCGCATTTCGACTCTGCGGATTTAATCAAGTTGGGTTAGGTCATAGCTTCATAAAATATGCAGAAATATGTCTGCCCCATCCGAGAAGAAATACCGATTGCATATTTCGTCGTGAGGTAAGAGGAGAAATCTGATGATACCGTTCCCACAGCTCTCGAAGAGGTTACATAATTCAGTTGACATTATCTACTCTGCCCACCAAGAAGAAAATCCAGATAAGGGCTGCGATGTTGATCCTACAGCCCTCCTGTCAGTTATTACCTGCTCTTGACGTTATTTAACCGTGTTATGAAGGACTTTTCGCTACGTATGATCGACATAATGCGAAAGTTTGTCCGTCCCTTTTGATGCTTGGCATAATTTATATCTATGTACCCAAAGAAAGTTTTTAGTTCAAGTTAGATCATCAAATGTTGGATTGGTTAGTTATGGATGGGATAGGTATGTATGCTAACTTTGGTCTGTTTTTATGAGTACTTCTTCACGGTGAGGTGACTAATGCATACACACATAAATACCGGTGAAAAGTAGAGATAGAGTTAGTTTGGGAATATTCTATAATCTGAAAGGGATCCTCTGAAATGTGAAATTATAACGATATACATACATATTTTCGACATGTATGCAATGTATCGGTTGATGAGTCGGGTGTTTGTGCAGATGGGCGTCTCACGTTTTATCTGAGGCAAACACTGTCAGCTTGGAATTTTTGCCATTACTCTCGTGACCATTGTGTAACACGTAGTCTAAAACTCTAACTCGTCTGATTATTATTCCAACTGCCGTCATTCATTCCACGAACGAACGAATCGTACAGAAGATAGTTCTCTCCCGTAATATCGGGGGGATCTCTTCTTGTGAGCGGGTCGGACTTGTTTCCCGACTTGATGAGGGATGAATGACGTGCAAAACGGAAAACTTTTTTTTTTTGGAAAACGTTAGCTTTGTCGGATTTTAGGGATTTGCATCCTTGCACCTCTCCGTCCGTCCGTTTGACGGATTATGGGCGACTTTTTTTGTCTTGGCTGAAATTGTGTGGGCTGTTAGTGCTGGGTGTAAGTAAGTAAGTGGGTGGAAGGAAGGGGAGGTTTGTATGTAGGAGGGTAGATGTGGAAACGGTCACTGCAAATAGAATTCTGGTGATTTTGTTCGAGATAAATAGATTCTCTTTCTTTCTTTCCGGGGATAATGACATGCAAGCTGAGAGAGGAAACCAGAGATATATTTTGGCAATGGGCCCCGAATCATCTGCTTCCACTTGAAGTGCTAATTATGCCGACTTCCATCACTCATCCGAAGGATAGAATTTCAGCCGAGTGGGGCAAGTTGAGCAGCAAGAGAAAGTTTGCAAGAAGAAGAAAGGGAATCCATTAATTCAGGCTCAAACTGTTGTTGTTGTTGTTTTGCAACTTGTACTTTTATCGTTTTGCAATCAGCATAATCAAACAAAATTTCATTGACAAAATTTCTGCAGCATAATTAAAATACTTTAACAAAACAATACTGTCATTATAACTTGTGTATACATCGGATGATGATGGAAAGGTCACCTGAAATAAAAGTGGATGAATCGAATAGTGAGAGAAACTCTGAAAGAGAAAGTGAGAGTTATGTTTCTCTCTCTCTTCTCTTGTTTCTACTGCAGTTTCTCACTCTTCAACAGCATTGCGCAAAAAACTTGGAGGAGCAATAGTGCTACTAGCGAAAGAGGTTGGATTAGTGAGTACTTACGTATTCAAAAGATGTCCAGAATAGACATATTCCCAAACTTTGGGCCTTCTCTCCCTCTCACTTTCTCCTCTTCATTATTGTTCACACGAAGGCGGACAACAATCTTTTGGAGAAAGTCAGCAGTAAGAAGAAGGAGCGCACCCACGCAAGAAAGCGATCACATGCTCCACGTACGCAGTGACGAGGTACATACACGGTGTCGAAGTTTATCATTTCTCAATAGGTGATACGATTAATATATGTATGGGCTTAAACATTGTGTAATGCCCTCTTCTTTTCCAGCTAATTATGAATACATTTAAACAAGTTCAATGTTGTGTAACTTCAATTAAATCATCCCCACTTTGACAGTGAATACATACATTGATAATTAATTTTAATGAATAACTTTGACATTCAGCATGAGCATGACATTCGTATTTAAATAGAATAACCTTTACGCACTTGGGAAGACATATTTATTCTGTCATTCACGACATGCATGACGAGATAGAAATAGGCTGGTTATTACAACGTGCCTGTAATACGAATCAATGGGAATCCATAGATATGTGAGATATGTATTTACGAGACTGGCATGAACTTTTGCCTTGCAAAGTTTCTTATATATGTACGCCTGTTGTTGCTGGTTAACTGTCTCGATTCCCTTTGAAGGCAGGAGCAGTAACATAAAGTTGTTTAATAATAAATAAATCGATGTAGTATTTCGTAAGGTTCAGTTCATGCATGTTTTGAGAATAGAATCCGCTCTCTCTCTCTAGATTCAACCAGTTACTTGTTGTCAGCCAATTCAAGTAGTCTACATAGATTTAAAATGCCTTGAGCAAGATACAAAAAGTATTTTTCATCATGTTCATCATGCTGCTTCCAACTTGTAAACTTTCACCTTTGATCGCACTCAGTCTCTCTGACTTACAACCGTATTATTATATTTGAGAGCGAATCCGTAAAACGGGAAGCGATGGACGATCTTCATCATGATGATCATGATCGTTTCACTGTTTGTTATCCGTACGTATGTACGTACCACTTCTCTGGCATACATAGAACAAAGTGAAGTTTGGCTGAAGGAGGAAAAGTGGATGGAGAAGGTATATATGACTTTGACATGCAAATCAAAAGCAGCCCACACTCAATTTAAAACCATTTTCCAGAGATTTGGAGTAAGGCGATTGCGAAAACCTGAGGAAAATTCTAGATTTATTTTACTTTTGCCATTCTCACTTGCTCGTTTCTTGCGAATTTTGTAACCAAAACCACGACTGAAGGACAGTTTATATCCCTTATCGGAGTCGTACCTCTCTCTCTCTTTACCGTCGTGATGTGAAAGGAAGCTAATTTAAATTTCCAAACGTGTGCATATAAATACATGGTAAAAGGAATTTTCAAAGTCAAAATGTCCATATTTGATGAAAAGTGCATATAAATTCCGACCTGTATTGCTGTTTGAGGTGAAATTGAGGTCGACAGCCTGACATAAAAGCCGACATGAGATGGACATGACCTGGGCAACGGTTTTTGCACCACCACATTGAACACGAATTTGCTGTCCAGTCAAACTACTTCACAGGATTGTGGAAACTATTGTGCAGAATGTTCCATTATATTTTCATTAAAGTACAGGATTTTGAGGTAATTGGAAAGGTGTTCTAGTTCCAAAGTCTCCCTTTCCTGATGGGCAAAAGCGACTCTGCTTTTGAAGTTTGATTTGATTTTCATGTAAAATTAATTTTGGTCGGGCCTCTACGAACGTGGTGTGTCAGGCTTTATATATTTAGTTTGGCAGATTTCATGAATAATATTATTTTACATTCAATAAACAATACATATGTAAAAATAGCAAAATTAATGGCAAGGTTTCTCATTGGTATGTATTTGTGTCTGATATTTAATATTTAATTCTTGTTTAATCAGCAGCTTATAATTCTGCAAATCTATTTTTATCGCGCAAATAATTTTCACAGCATTCATGTTTTCGGCACCAAGTAAAATTGAGTTGTTCTTGAGACAAGTTTGAAATTAGTACTTAATATTTGTGCCTGTTACATCCCCTGACGGTTGAACAAAATGGTTTTCAAGGGAACCTTTAGTACTGTCCCATCTCGATTTTTGGATAGTCTTAATTGATAGACAATTTAGTATAACTTTAACTTTGTCATAGAACATACGGTGCAAAATCAAGTTTTCGCGAAAGCTGCTCTAAAGCCTGCAATTTTTCAACTTTGCAAATGTGGTTGGATTTACCAAAGCAAACAATATGACCAGATATCCCGTGAACAGTGACCTTCCTAAGTGACGGAGCGGTCGACGCCACCGGCCATTTTTCAAGCAGACATGCTTGAAAAATCCACCTATAATGGGTTTCATTTTTAATTATGGTGACAAAACTGCTTTCTAATCGAGTAAACAAATTGCACCCACCTTGAACCGGACATAGGCCACACTGCACCAAATTGGGGTCGTCAGACGAGTTACATCGGTCGCAAGTCCACAGAATAAGTCCTCCCTTTCCCAGCGTGCTTGATGTTGTCCCCTTTGGAGATTCTGTCACGCCATAGCACGCTAAGCAATTTATAAAACAATTTCATTAACATGTGCTTAAATTATTTTAACTACTACCACCGAACTACCTTTGTGCACTGCAGGAATTGCATTGCAACATGTCTTTGCACATGTGCCCGGATTTTTCAATAAATCCCAAACACTCATGGCAGATATACCGTCATTGGATGATGAAATGGTCGTCATTTTATGGATGGTATGGGATGACTTATATTGATAGTAGGAGTGGTGGTTGTCAAAAATTCACTTTTGAAACTCGGTTCGGATTTTCAATCAACAAACTCTGCAGTAATGAATCCTCAGCAATGAAAGTCAAAGGAAAATGAGAATTAAATTGTTCTTAAAAAGCTAAAAATTGTGAGACAAACTGCGTAGAAAGTTTAAGGCATGGAAAGTTGCAAATTTGGTGGCTGAAATAATGATGATCCCAGCACAAAGGAATAAAGTCGATCCCGGCAGCTGAAGGTACAGGTAGCACGGGGTGATATGATACACAACGTGCATGGGATGAGAATGCATATGGCTATAGACGGTCAGACTGCCTGGTGCAAGGAATCCAACGCCACATACACCACAAGATGTAGCCACACCCTTTTCGTGGTTATTTGTATATACGTAAAATTGCGATGGAATTTTGGTTGAATAAGTGCACAGGGTACATTTTTGGAGTTTGATCATGCACATTTAACTTATGCCCGTCCCGAGTCGTAGTATTTTTGTATTTTCGCTTGCATATATCGCAGCTAAAATTCCGTTGGTCACTGTGAGTAGTTAAGTGCCGGTCAAGCTTCCCTTGGTTTGATACCTTCAGTCCGCAAGTGTTGCAGTATAATTTTACTGATTCACTCCTGGGCGTATGTATTTTCTTGTGCTGGTTCACAATATTCCTTGTCTTTGCTGAGAAGTCACACATTGAACATTTGAATATTAGATTTTCTCTGCGATGCTCTGTGCGTTCGAAATGCTCCGTGAGTAAATAATTTCCGTGAACACTTGTCACCTGCAAATATGTTAAAACAGGACAGTAAGGACAATGGTTCCGATGATAACCATTTTAACTCGATTTCAGACAATGGGGCACAGATTGTAAGTACAAATGTATGCAACTTACGACTTAAAGCAATGCAACTTACACTTGTTGTGTCAGACTTGTTACTCCTTGCATCGTGTAGTTTGGTAGCATATTAAGCCACTGGTAATTTTAACAAGTCAAACTTTATTCTACTTTGTCTATTTTCTGGGGTGTCAGAAATCATGGGCTGTGCCGATTGACTAATTATGATATTACATTTGTTGTGAAGCTTATCATGCGATACCTTTGTCATCAAAAAGAACGCGATCACGACGAGGTTCAATAATGGAGACTCCGTTGTCGTGATCAATGTCATGCGAGATAGCGAGAAGAGTACTGGACGAGTCAGGTCGTTCCATGTGTTCCATATTTTTAGCAGCACATTCATTAGTAGGCGATGGAATCCCGGGAAATTGGACAGGTCGAGGCAAAATTCCAGCTTCTTGTGCACTGCTGAATGGTTTTTTATTCAAAATTACATGTTGCACATAACCATTTAATCCCTTAATTTGTGCTAGAAATAGTACTAGAGAGGATGATAATACGTCACATTGGTTCCGTCGCGATGGGGTATGTGAAACCCTTTCCCCTTTCCATCATCCTTCTCACAAACCGAGCAACGATGAGCTCCCAAATTATTATAGTCAACAGAAAATAAGCTAAAAATGCATTGAGGAGATAACATTTTAAACGTAATTCACTGTGGGCATAATCTACACAAACCTACCATGGAACTCCATCACTCTTTATCACAACTAAACAAAACAAATAAAAAATCACTGCTTCTTGTTATATTGTCATTTATTTTATGACAAATTATGAATTTTGATTTTTGAAAATTTTCGTCCATGACGTTGCAATAAGAAAAAAAACTTTTTGTAATGCTTAAAAAAAGTTTGACATTTAAATTTTGTTCAAATTTAAAAAACGACGAAATTCAAATTTTGAAAGTTTTGAAGATTTGCAGGTTGCATCGTTTTTATGCATATTGGTGATGAAATTACAGAAGTGTGAAAAATTGCACGTTTTAGTGCAGCTTTCACCAAATATTTCGCGATAATTACGATTTTTCACCGTATGTTCTATGACAAAGTTTAAGTTACACTAAATTGTCTATCGATTAAGACTATCCGAAAGGAAATCGAGGTGGGACAGTACTTAAGGTTCCCTTGTCAGTTACAAGTAAAATAATTATTTTAAAAATCACTGGTCAAAAATTATTTTCCGTAAGTTCCGTGAACAAATCGAAAAATGAAATGAAGAGCTCAGACTAGAAACACGCTTTCCATGAATTATTATTGGATTTTGGTTTCTTTCAGGACACCAATGAATTGAAGACAAAAATTTTAATTGCAACTCGACCATTCGCAACCGTTCATAAAAGTAACTAAGGCGCACTAATAAATATCGAGCAATCGTGTTAAAAATCTTCTACTCTTAAAATTATTTTTACAAAATTTTTACACGAGTTCTGTTTTCGTAGGATTTTGTTAAAACTCACAAATTGGCATAAAGGATGAGTGATTCAGAAAATGATTTCAATAACATTAATGGCAATAATCGAAAGGTATATGCTAAAAAACCTTGCATTTTACCAGCAAGAATACAAACATTAATTGCATTTTTGCATGCCCTTTAATTCTAAAGGTCTTGGATAGCCTGGATCCATCCTGTAACGAGTTGAAGCATGCTTACGACACATGTTTCAATGGATGGTTTGACGATACATTCCTAAAAGGAGAACATAAAACGAAAGAAATTCCATGTGATGCACTCCTACAAATTTACAGCGCATGTGTCAAGGTATCAACTTTTGTATGTTTTTCTACTTTATTTAATATTTTATGTATGTCATTCCTCAAAAATATTTTGACTTTTCAGACTGCACTTAAAGCAAGAAAGATTGAGCTTGATGATCTCTCCTCTGAGATGAATAATAATAATACATCAGGAGATCGAAATGATAAAAGGGTTGAGTGATAGACTGAAGAATAAGTGATTGTTTAGAAATACTTTTTGTATCGAGGACAAAAATGTGATCATTGTGCAAGCAATTATAAATTCCTTTAGACGATTAACCTAAAAACTTATGTAACCGTATTAAAATCACCCACTTCTGACTTATCCTTGCATCTCGGATTACAATTCCACACTCTAATTGAATTAGGCTAATGTCGTAATACTTATAATTAGAAATTAGTCGTGCTGATATTCAGAACAGCTATTCAAAGCAATAAAATATTACATGTGACACGTTTTTTTCTCAAATTGCAAATTCTCACAAATATTATTGCATGTTAGGCATATCTACGTACGAATTTGCCCACATGTGTAAAAAACGTGAAATACGATCCTGATCCTTACAACCTTCACATTAATAGTTATTGATACATTTCTTGTCTAATGTGTAAGCGATCTTGGTAATAAACTTCTCAAGTTTGGTCAACGCTTTTCTGACCCCAACGCTTGCGCCTGTCGCCCGCTAATGGGAGAATCATGCCGTAAATGGTAAATATAAGAGTTTTGTTGAAACATTATCGAAAATTGAATTGCACTCACTAATCCTAAATTTGAGCACGCACTTTGATTTTCGCTTTTTTCGGTTCAACTTGGTCATTAAGCAAGAAAAAGAGGACTGATTCATGGTTCAAGGGGAACTTTTATGTTTGAGAAATATTTTAAACAAAAAATTTGTTGTTGTTAAATTACATACAAACGTCCAACTAACTAGGCAATTGTATTGTTTCATCCTGTTTCACTAACCAGTGTGGAGTGGACTCGCACACAGCATCCGGTGTCAATTTTCTGTCCCTATTATATTTATACGAAAAGGAATAATCATCGTCTAGTTCACTTATCTTTATTGACATTTATTCAACACGCGTGCAAACACCATAACTCTAGAGATTTTTTGTATGGGCATGATTCTGATCTCATTCGGGGTCCATCAAGAAGAAACATCCAGCAGCATGTCAAGTAAAATGTGCGTCTGTTTCATGATCAAGCCGAGTGATACTGTCAACTGACAGAGCTCTCTCAACTATACTTTGCCTACATGGAGCTAGTCAGCAACGGCAGCATTTATCATGACAAGAAATAACTATGGACCTGTTAGTAAATAAAAATATTTTGAAACCAAGCTGTTTGTTTTCTTGACGATTTTTACAGTCTGACATCTCGAGTTGGGATTGATTTAGTGGTTTTTGTAGGTGGAGGGATAAGAGGTGTAAAGCGAATACATTGATGATTTCGTGTACATAATCATGCAACGAGCAACCTTCAACATGGAGTCGTCAGGACACGAATAAGACGAACATGTATGAATAACAGCTAAGCAAAAATGCCAATTGGTTGCTTTTCCATACCCACTGACTTTTATTAAGTTGATTTGATGCCATTCCATATTAGAGAGTATACCAACTGTTGCAGGACAACCATAAAATCGCCATTTTTGTTGATTACCATCACCATTCTCCATCAAATATCAAATCAACCGTCACCAACCAACCATTTGCAAGTCAAGTTAAAGTAAAACTTGTGGTTTCATTAGTGGCCAGAGCGTGTCCCAATAATCCACTATTAAGTTTAATAATATGCAGAGTAATCCACACCATGTTAAATTAAATCTTGTGCGGCTTAATGGAAGCATAATATTCATGATGATGATGGTGATGATGATGATGCCCACAATTAGAAAGTGTCAAGTTGTCACTGTGTGGTCTGCCCAGTCGGCCACGTCCAAACATATTCGCACTCATGGGACATTTTTCGCATGTGTTTCCACCAACAAAGTAGGAAAAAATCCCACATGCTGCTTATCCTTATCGTCTTTTGCAAGTATGTGGATGGATATGCGATAATTGCCCGTTGGCAAGGAGAAGGATGTTTTAGCCATTTTTATGCATCTTTTGATCACAGATTAAGGAATGTTAATGATTTTATTGTAGCACGAACTTTAGACTTTGCACTATAATGAATTATTCCGTGACGTGACGTGATAAAATAAAAGAAAAATGAGATACCATCAATGACGAGCATTAAGTACCGGATGCTGGACACACAGCACACATTTCTACATAAGCTCTAGTTAAAGCTTGCTAGCTAGCGGCAGTCAATGGGTACAACGATGAAAAACGTAGTGCTGATTAAAATTATAAATTATTACGAAATGATATACATTGTAATGAAGGAAATCATTACTGCTTTCTCAACAAGTCTGCACGATGTTTTAATTTCGTTGACTTATGTGCCATTGCGTAGGTTAGGATTTGCACTGGCAAAATTGATTCGCATTAAGACAAAAGTACATCTGGTTTTGTCGGAACGTTTATTCCGAGTAAACAATTACAAAACGGACGTAAAAAGTAGAAAAGGTTTTTTTATCGGGAAAAAATGTAAAAGCAGGAGAACCGCATCTTTGTTCTTGAATATGCTGGGTAGTTAATTACGTTCGATAACTTTTCACGGCTCAGAATTCTTTAATTCGGTTTTAATATTTTGTTTGACCTCAGAGACCCAAGTGTGCCGTTACAAGTTCGCAAATAAATTCATAAATTTGATAAATTCGTAGAAAAAGCGCAAAGTAAATATGGGATGGTCGTTAACAGATTTGATTCAAGATTACACAACTAATTCCTGAAGAAATAAAGAATTAATTAATGAAAAAAAGGTTTAATGCGTGTACCATATCGAGAAACTTAGTCCATATTAACCCAGCTTTATCTTCCCATAAAGCAACTTTTGTAAAACTATGTGCATACACAAGGTAGATAGAAAAATGTTTGCAAAATCGTTATAATCTGCACAATCTTCTATACACACCATAATTTACTTACCAGAGTGATTTAGGTCCATAACCTTTCTCTGCTATATAAATACAAAATGAAAACCTGACAAGTTTTTTAACTTTGTAAAATTACTTGACTGATGGCGATAAAAAGAGAATTTGAAATTGTTGAATGCAAATTGAAGTTGAGTTAGGTTAGTATCATCCCCCGTGTAATCATCTCGGTCCGTAAAAAAATGCAAGACAAGACTATTTAACTATTTAAGGTGAACTTGTTGAGTCACTTAATACCTGACTGTCTACAACCCTGCTGGCTGAGAAGATATGCACACACACATTTCTCATCCATTCAGTCCCACTACATTTCTAAAACTGCGTCTCATAAAAATTGCTAAATGTCACAGACTAATAGCAGGCAGGGGCATCATTTCGAACGACGACTTGTTGTGACGATATTTTATTGCGATTATTTTATGCAGAAAGAATTATTTAGTAGAAGAAGTGGTCATCTCATTGGCACGATTTGATGCGAATTTTATTTTCTGTGACTCTTTCCGTGAAAATCATTAAGCAAGCAATTGGTGTGGTGAAAATAAAAAGTCAAAGTACTGAAGAGACGATAATAATTTTGTGGTTGTGACCACAAGACAAACTTTTTTTGGATATACTCTTTCTCTCTCCTATTTTTTTTTGTTTTGTTGGTTTTGTGTAGAAATTTTCATATAATAATAATGTGATGAATTATTATAGACATTAATTTAATTTTTTATATGTAAAGTTTAGCCCAGCCGTAAATTTTATGAGGGATCAAGTTCTCTCCTTATTCTTCTCCTTATAATAATAATAATCATAATGATAACGATAATTTTTATTATTTCACGTTGTTTGATTTTCAGCTGAATTTAATTAATGTTATGACTTTTACGTGCCTTATTTCCTTTATTGCTGGGTAGAAATTCGATCCTAATCCATCAATTACATGTCTCGTGTGTGCTTAATATGTTAACGAACTCCTTGAAAATTGCGATTTGTCTAAACTTAATGAGTTATCCGCCTTTCTCCCTGCTTGTTGGAAAGGGCTAATAACGCCAGCGAACGACAAGTCGGCAAAAAAATGCAGCATTCAAAATCGAACGTGCAAAATTTAAGTTGGCAATGCAATATGAAAGGAAGATTCAAATGATTCATCAAGTATACGTATAAGTACATGCATTCAAAAAATGAATGCATTTAGAGAGATGTGTTTGGCCAGGCTGAGAGTGTTTTATCTCCATTTTTGCCTCCTTTCCTTCTTATTTATATATACTTATTATTATTATTATTATGCTGCTGCTTTGCTGCTGCTTAACTATGTTCCAAGTTTCGTTTAGAGTTTGGCTTGGTGTCAGTGTTGTGTCATTACATGGAAGTATGCTCTAATGCTGATGGTAATGCGAAATGAATGTGATTGCCTCGAGCGGTTTCGCTTCGTGATTACAATCACAAAGATTTCATACATTCAACGATCAAGCTCAAACTATTTTTTATTTGCTTACATAACGCCGAATTTCTTTTCTCCTACTTGTTGGCAGTTGAAGAAGGAGAAGAGGAAAAAGTGATCGAGAGAGAGGTATCTGAGAAAAATGCTGATTTTTACAATATGCTTGAGATAGGATTCAAAATAGAGATAGAGCAGTCGTGGGCGTGTGTTTATAAAAATGCAATAAATATAATTCTGACCAAAGTTTAAAGACATGTTTATAAGGAAGAACAGAACGTGATAATAATATGTGCATGATAAATAGTCCTCTCTTCTCTTAAGCCGTTAATCAACCATTAATTAAGATAATAATATTATTTGTACAAACATAAGTCCGTCCAGCAGTTACATAGATACATTTGTTCTGCACAACTTTGCGGATTTTTAAACCAGCATAATTTGCATTGTTTGTAAGTATTTATACTGGAACGAATCAATCTTGCTCATTGTTACTGCTCACGATTATTATCATTGAATTTTTTTAAACTACGGCGCAATAGCAACAAACAGCAATTCATAATACTGCGATATGTACATACATACATACATTCGTGAACAGTGTATCATTTTATTACCAGCGTGTAGTAGTAGTGGTCGTCTTCGTAGTAGTTGTAGTAGTACTAATAAAAGTAGGTACGTAATTTAAGCGCACCTGTGTTAATTGTGAAATCAAAGGCTGTGTGGCTGGAGAAGGTGAATTCATTCTTAATCTTTCTCGCCATATTAAAGCAGATAAGCTTTTTTACACGCTGTTTATTTAGCCAATGGACGGCCATCTGCAGTGATACAAACGGTTAAGCAGTAGCTCAATGGCGAAACTGAGCAATGAACCCGGAGTGGAGAGTGACGATCGCAAACTTTTTCAAGGTTTCTGCACGAAACGAGTTAACTTAACGTGCTGTGGAGGAACATAGTCATTGTTGTGAACTCTTTTACATGTTATATGCCTCTCATTGCGACACG